ATATATATATTATAATTAAAGTACTATAGTTTAAATATTAATATTTAGAAACTTATATATTAAAGAACATCAAAAAATATTAAAGAATATCAAAGAATATTAAAGAATATTGAAAAATATTAAAGAATTTGAAAAAATATTGAAAGATATGAAAGAAAATTGAAAGATATAAAAAGATATTGAAAGATATGAAAAGATAATGAAAGATGTAGAAAGATATTAAAAGATATGAAAAGATATTTGTGATTGACATTCCAAATATAACTATTCTACCAAAATTAAAAATGATCTTTTATTATATTAATTTACTATATATATAAATATTATATTACAAGTAATTTAAAAATATAAATCTTGAATAAATATAAAATATAATATTTAAAAATAGAAATATGATAACAAATATAATAATAAAAATAAATATGTAATATGAAAATAAGAATATTTATAAAATAAATAAAATTATAGAAAAATGTGATTTTGCATAATCAAGAAAAGATTATAGAATTAAGAAATTTTATATCACTATAGTAATAATATAATGATTTTTTAAAAATTTACTAGGCTTCTTCTAATAGTATTTTTTTATCTGATTTAAATAATTAAAACTTATTTTTGTCAGATCAAATTATTTATTTTTAATTATTAAATATTCAATTTTTATATTTTTATTTAATTTAATCTTTTTTTAATAAGTTTTACTAAGTAAAAACTTTTTTTATCTTATTTTTATAAATAAATTATTTTTTCAAAATATTCTATATATTCTCTATTAATAAATTAACATTTAGCTTATTTTTAAATTTATATTAGATTTAAATAGTAGTAAAATATTTTTCAAATTATATTAATTATATTATATTTTACTCATAGTATAATAAAAGAATTAATATATAATTAGATTTTGAATTATAATTAAAGCTTTTAGTTTTATCTTTTTATATATTTAATAAATTAAAGTTATACCTATCTATTTTAAAACTCTTCTTATAAAAGAATATAAATATAAATATGTTTTTTATGAGAAATTTAAGATATAAATAATTAAAACTTTATTTTGATTATTATTAAAAATCTTATTTAGTTTTCTATTTACTATTAAAATAAAAAAAGATATTTTTGTACTTATTTTTTTATAAATTTGAATTTCTTTTTTCATTTTGATTATATAATAATATAAATATTCAGAATATTAATCTGATATATAAAATATTATTTAATATTACTAATTTTAAATTATTATATATATGAAATTAGAATTACTTTATTTAATAATAAATATAATAATGTAAATATTTTTGCAATCAGTTTTTATATTTGTTAATAAAAAAATATTATCTATTTTCAAGTATAAAGTACAAAAAATAATAATAAATCAGTTTTGAATAAATAATATCTAAAAATCTATAGAAATTATATAAATAATAGATTTTTCTAAATCTATAATATATAATATAATCAATCAAATTAAAAAATTATCAAGTATTATATTACTTTTCAGATCTAAAAGATTCCTAATTCTTATATTAAATAATATCATATTCTTAATTGATTAGTACAGATTAATAATATTACTATTATAGTTAAAATAACTAAAAAACTTAAATAAAAAGATTTTAACTTAAAAGTTTTCATTTATATAATTTAATATATCTTAAAAAAAATTTTTAATTTAATATTTATTATCTATTATGAGCTTCTCTTTTATAACTCTATTATATTGTAGCTTATTTTAAATGAATATAGAAATATATCTATTAAAATTAGTTTTATATAATATTTTTTATGAAATAACTTTAGATATTCAAAAATACTTAGCTAATAAGATATTATTATAGAATATTATGATCACATAAAAGTATAATAAAGCATCTTTATAAGATTTAAACTTGAAATACTTTTAGTATACAAGAATTAATTATACTTATCTATTTACTAAAAATTTTAATGCTAAAAATATCAAGAAATTCTTAAAATATATCTTTTTTCTTATATTTCTGTAACAGATTATAGATTGTATTTTTAATAGAACAACTCTTTAATTTATAATATAGATGAAATAATTAATCTTTTTTATTATTATAATATTTAAATTCTTGATTAATCTTTTTATTTGTCAAATATTAATCTTATCAAGAATTTATAAATCATGCTTAAGAAAAAGATAAAAAAAACAAATTTATAATTAATTAAAAAACTTTTAATAATAGAATTTCAAATGATAATATAAATAAAATAGATGAATTTGAGTAAAGATCTCTTTTTCTAATTAGTAAGAAATATGAAATATCATATTTTAGTAGTAATTGAATAAGAAAAAAAATTAACTATTAAATTTTTGTAAATAGTTAGTAGTCATATTTGAAAATGTGAGTACAAAATTTTTGTATATATTAATAATAAAAATAAAATATCTTATCTATTATAATAAATTCAGAATATTTATATTAATTATTGTATTATATAAAATACTAAAAAAAATAAAAATTATTATATAAAATAAAAATAATAGATAAAAATATTAATTAATAAGTAATATTTTAATAAATAAAATACATTTATCTTTAACTTTATATAATTCTTTAATAATAAGATATTTATATCTTATCAATTTTTTTCTGTATTCTATTACTTCTATAAGTTATTATATAATAAGAGAATATATAGTTTTAATTGATATTAATTAGAAAGTAAAAAAATGATTGAGAAAGATATAAAGAAAAAGTATAATTCTTTTAAATTATTCATCTTTTATCATAATATATCAATTACTCTCTTATATTCATTATTCTTTGCAATTATACAATATATAATGCAATACATAACTGAAAGTTTTTGTAATCTAATTATATCTCTCTCTTTTTTTATTATATTTATACTTTTGAGTATATTTTTTTAATAATTATAATATTCTTCCTTATTTTTTATTTCATTATTACTTAAACTCGAAATTTTATCTAGGATCGGAGAAGCCGGAACCGATCGACTAAGTCACATGACACGAACTTTTGGCGGTCGTGCTGGTAGACTCATCAAAAATCGTGCATCCATGAATGAAAAGATGGATCAATGACGGAAAATCAATAGAGTTGAAACAATTTAACTCGAGCTTTGTAGTACATGTACACACAGATTAAATTGCAGTAATAATCTCTCTCTCTCTCGTAATAATACATGTATTAAGTTCACACAAATAAAAAAAAATGAAAAGCTAGTAATACTGAAAATTCTATGATAAAACTAGTACTTTGTAGTATAGTATTTTACCTTTGTATGTAACAAACAAATGGATACTTGTAAGCCCTAAATATTTTAATTTTATTGAAATTACTTTCGTGGCGTGATGTGTGTGGTAAACATTCGACCGACTGGTAAATTGTATTTGGATGGATTTGTTTGTCTATTTTCGGAATATATTCAATGAAAATTTTTTTCGGGAAAATTGTGTTTTATTGAATATAAGTGATTCTCGATAATAAATCTCACTCGATAATAATTCTCTAACCGTTAGAACTATAAAAATTATTTTTATTTTATTTGCCCAGTACACATATAATACTTAAACTATAAATCGTTCGTCTCTAATTATTTTTACAAAATTAAGATACACAAACATTCAAAAATTTTAAGAAGTTGGTATACTTTGAGGGAATGCAAACAAATTGTTGGGATCATATTTTGCTTTGGTTTTCACTAATGTTTGATAATTAGCGCCGTAATATGAGTTCTGCCAATTACTCAAATCACGATCAATATAATTCTGATAACAATAAGGTGAAGTGTATTGACTTTGGAAATTGGCGCCAAAAGAGTTTATATTATCAATACAGTTTGTTGCTTGACTTGCATCCGTCCAACTCGTCATTAATTGAATTAAAAATAATGAATCACGATGAGCAAATGCCATTGCATTTGAGGGAACTCTGTTGATAGCTCCTCCATAAATGTCTAAATTCGCGTAGGTGCGACATGCAGGTGATGCCAGATAGTTATTGAATGCATCAATGCCAGCAGCGGAGAGACCAGATGAGCCGACGTACATGGATTTTGCTTTGAAGTTGTATGGAAGAAGAGTTGGATTCTGGACGTATGAATCTGATTGACCGGAAAATAACACAACCGAATCGTAGAAACTCTGTTGGACTACGCGTATTGTGCTGTATCCGGGTACCGCTAGAATGCTACTTAAAGCATTCGAGAGGTCGGATTGCAGACCAAAATAAACACCTTGAATTTCTAATCCACTATTACTCCATACTAAACTGAATGTCACCTCATCAGGTCCATTAGTTGCGTATTTTTCAACAGCTGGGATTAAAGCTTGTGCTGCACTTGTCGGCCATAGATACTGGAATGAAGTGACTTGCGTTTGAATAGGTGTAATGTTAAATGTAAATGCTGTCACAACTCCATAATTTCCGCCACCAGCACCACGTAAGGCAAAGAACAAATCAGAATTTCGGTTTGGAGATGCGGTAATTAAATTACCATTAGCTCCTACGATGTCAATTGAGAGAACGTTATCCACGGCTAGACCGAATTTACGAGAGTATAATCCATAACCACCGCCTAACGTAAATCCACCAATGCCAACACCTGGACACGAGCCACCAGGAATCAAATAACCGGCTTGACTGAGCTTATAGTACATTGGACCAAGTCTATTTCCGGCACCAATTACTGCCGTTTTTGCTGTAGTGTTAATTGCTATTTGGTTCAAATTAGTCAAATCAATTACGAGTGATCCGTCTTTTCCACCAAGTGAATAATCTTCATACGAGTGTCCTTTTACCGTTGGATGAAAAAACGAAAATGAATATATTTTTTATCAATCTTAGTCATTTAATTTATATGTACGTACCTCCCGATCTTGGTGCAACATTCATGTTCGAAGCGGCCGCGCATTTAACTGCTACTCGTACGTCTGCAACGTTCGATGCGTACACAAAAGCAGCTGGTGCTTTTTATTTAAAGTGCTCGATTAGCTAATAGTTTCACTTCAAGTATTGTGTCAAAACATTTAGTGATAAATACAATATGTAATACGGCTGTTTTCCTCCGTTTTGTCTTGCGAATATGCAGCATCTCCTGGGTAAACGACGTTTCCAGTGATGCTAGTCAAACATGCTTTGAGACCAGTAGGTGTTGAAGTTGGCGAAGTAGTGGTGGTGGCTGTGTTGGTGGATGTGGTGGTGGCTGTGTTGGTGGATGTGGTGGTGGAGCTGGTGCAGGCATTGTCTGCACTAGCATCTGGATTGCATCCTACTCCGCAATAGTCACTAGTAGCACCACACCATCCAAACTACGGACAGCAATAATTGTTTAAACAAAATGCAAAATTTCGTACATATACAAGAGGACATACCTTAGAACAACATGGAGTGCTACCCCTACAAGTTTTACCAGAATTTGAACAAATCTGGGTTCCTCTTTTTTCTAATGGACCTCTATGCAAATACGAGGCATTAACGTTATTATATGAAAATTGAAACTCTCCATATATTACCAAGAAAACGAGCAATAATTTGCTCGTAAAGATTTGAGTATTCATTATGTAGGGTTGTATTTTATTATAATCAATCGCCCTTGTTGCTTCACTTTTTCTTAGATTTTTTGAGAAAAAGATAGAAAAAACGAAGACACGAGCAAACTGATGTTTGAGCATGCTGTATTTATATCATTTATTATTAGTATTATACATATATCATTTATTTCAAGTGTTTATTAGGTATGATAATGATAAACATTTGGAAGTTCCGGAATACATCATCATCAAATTAATTACATTGTTCGTTGCAGGATCCCATTAAACATCAACATTTCTTTCTCCCTTTTATTTTCTGGATTAAAAGATATTCCATTTATCTAAAAATAGTAGAAAACAGGAGTTTACATCTCCACAAAAGTCTGGAATTGGAAATGATTGTCTATCAATCATTTCGGCAAAAAATATTATTATTATGTTCATGAGTTATTTTATTTTTAACGATAATGAATCTTTAAATATGGTTAGTTTAATTTTTCTATTAATACTTTAGATACGATTTTTAAAAATTCCATCGTTAGAATGACATCAATAATTTAATTATAAATTCAAGTGACAATGAACATACGTACAGTTCCTGCGGAAAGTAATTATGGTTAATTTTATTTAAAAATAAAATTGGTTTATATAATAATTTCTCTAATTTTTATTTTTATATTAATATAATTAAAGCTTTATATTTTATAAATATAAATATTCATCTATATTTGTTCATTTTTTATTAAACTCAATAATTTCTATTTTTAGTAAGCTTTTGTTTATGCATTAATTTTTATATCTTAAGATATATACAATAATTTAAATAATACTTTGAAATAACTATAATTATATCAACTGAACAACTTTAATAAATGACTAAAGACAGATTCCTTAATGTATTTTCTGAAATATTAAATACTTTTTGTAAATATTCAAATTCATACATTTGTAAATAATCTTTAATATCTTAAAAATTATCTTAGAAAACAGATAAATTTATAATAAAGACTTTGTTGTTAATATTAATTTAATATTATCATTACTTTTTACCAGAACTATATTTGCTAATATATATATACAGCTATATATTTCTCAAATTTATAAACTTTAAACAAACCTATTTTGAAATTAGCTAATTAATATACAAATTTTCTAAAATAATTACTTTTTAATAAAATGCAAAGTTGATATATTTATAAAATATATTACTAAATTTGATTAGTGTAATCTGTAATATCTAATTTAGCAATTTACAATTAATATTACAAAGATTCAGAGTTTTTATATAGTGCATAAAATAATGAAAAATTGTTAAAATTATTTAATAATTTAGATATATATTCTTTATAACAATTAAATTAAGTTTGTTCAAATATTTTACAAAATTATTTATTAATTATATTTATTATTATGCATTTCTTAATTAAATTTATTATAAAAAATATAAGTTAAATTCAATAAATATTGAATTTATTATTAAAAATAATTCTATTATTTCAATATACATAAAGTTATTTATTATATTTACAAAGAATATATATATAAATTTTGATATAATTCTGATTTTTTTATTAAATAATTAATAAAAATATTAAATTATTTATATTTATAGTTGATTTAATTTTTATAACTTAATGGTGTTTTTAATAAGTTATTATATTAATATATCTTAATAACTTTATTTTTATATTAAAAATTTATATTTATAATATTTTATATAATTTATTATTTTATATTATATATTAATATATAATTTTAAAAATTTTAAATTTTTATAAAGTAAACTATAATTATATAATTTTTAAAATTTCAAAATTTTATAATTTTTTTATATCATCTTTTATTAATATAAAAATTATAAATTTATAATAATTAATTATTTTTTAAATTTAAAATATATTAATTTTTATAATTATTAAATCAGAAAATTGATTTATTAATAAAATATAATAAAAATTAAAATTTTCTTTCAATATTAGACTTTATAATTTTATTTTTATATCAAAATAAAATTTATAAGTTATAATTTAATATATACTATTATTATAGTAATATAATAATTTTAATTAGATTATCTTTCTTTTAGATTCTTTTAGTTTAGAACTTTATTTTGCACTATCTGTATTACAAATTAGCTTTATATTATATTTTTAAGAAGATCAATTTCATATTGAATATATAAATAATTATTATATATTTAAGATATTAGATTTAGTATATTATCATACAAATTATTACTATATATACTTATATTATTAATTTGGATTTTTAATATTTTTAATTAAATATTTTTTTTAATAACTCTTTATTTTCTTACTTATTCTTATTTATTATTATTTATATTATTATTTATAATTATTTATTATATTATTATTTATT